CTTTCCTTCTAAAATTGTTAAAAAAAAAACTCTCTAATAATACTTTGATATCATTTATGTGTAGGTCATATGTTTATTTGCTCTTCCATAGTATCACGTAGGCCAGTTGTTTCTCTAACATTTTTTGTCATTCTTATCTATATGTGACTAAAATTTAGTTTTATTGTTTAATTGAGTGTTTATTGACGCATTGAGTAAAGTATTCGTTCGAATTTTACTTTCCGAGTAGTTATTGTTGCCGTAAAAAGTAGATCTTAAGCTCTCATTTCAATTGCCAATTCCAACTATAAACCGAAACAGAGCATTAAAGCTTACAACCTGCTGAACTGATAAATAGCAAGAAAATTGAAATAATGAGGCTTTATTTTCTAAGTAGTTATTATTGCTGTAAAAAATATATATCTTAAGCTTTCATTTTAATGACCAAATCTTCATGTGATGCTTCTATCCATTAATTTCTCATAAAACTTAAAGAGAACATTAAAGCCCTCAAACCTGCTGCATTGCTCTTAAATATTACTGAACTACATAAAAAGCAAGAAGAAAAATGAAATAAAGAGGCCTTAATTTTTAACTTCTTAATTTTAAGATAAAATTTTATTGAATGGTAAGAACTTAATAGAAAAAAAAAATTACATTATTGTAGATTTTTTATGAGTTATATGTATATTAAGATTACTGCTCCAATATATAACATCAAAGAATTACAGTAATCTCAATCTATAAGCATATGTAGATATCATTTGTAACTGATTAATGGAGCAAATTCTGTAAGAATAAGTTGATATCATTTGTATCATATATTTATTTGCTCTCCCATAATTTCATCTTACATTTTGTCATTCTTCCATATTTATTCGTTCTAATTTTACTTTCCAAGTAGTTATTATTGCCGTAAAAAATAGATCTTAAGCTCTCAGTTCAGTTGCCATTTCCTCATGCGTTGTTTCTATCCATTCCTCATAAGTTTCCAAATATAAACCAAAACAGAGCATTAAAGCTCTCAAAAGAAGAATGTAATATGAAATGAAAACTATCAACACTAAAATTCATTTACTTTTCTGCATTATTACATATCAACAAGATTCTACTTTCAGAACCTTCATAAATGGATATATTCCATAACAAAATTGTTTTGCGCTGTAAGCAGCAAAACTAACATAGAACATATCCTCAGCATCATCATCATCATCAACTGTTAAGTCCAAAAATAAGCCCTTCAAAGGGCATTTTCTTCTCCTTTCCGTCATCACCAGGACCGAAATAAACCTTCTTCATCCTCAGGAACACCTCGCAAGTCAGCAAACTATCAGACCCCGCCTGATGCGCTTTCCCCTCCGCACGCTTCACGCCCAACTTCTCAGCCACCTTCTCCAGCCCCCCGTAAAGCCCATCGCATCTTCTAATCAAGCACTTCACATCATATATTCGGCCACCAAAAAACCAGTTTGCCAGCGCCATGAACTCCTCCATGGTCTCCGGCAGCCTCACACGCAGTTTCGTCGTCAGTTGAAACAGGGCTTTGAACAAGATAGCAAAATCGTAGCATCCGTGAAAAGCTACCCATGTCGCTCTGGAGAAGTCGCCGACGAGGCCAGCGTCAAGTAGAAGGCGGGCGAGCCAGACGGAGGGGATCCCCAATTGACGATTTCGGGTAAGATTTATCCCAGAAGTCTCGAGCAGAGCGACCGAGCTGGGAGCGTGGGGGTGGCTGTGCAGGTCGAAGTCCCGGAGTTCGAACTGCGCGGTGGAGGTGGCGCCGTCGCTGATAGTAATGCCGACCTGAATGGGCCGAATCACGTCGGCGTTCAGTTTCAGGACAGAGTAGCGCTCGGCAGGGGAGAGAAGCGTGTGATGCTTCGATGATCGGAAAATGCAGCCCGGGAACTCTGTGTCGAAGAAGACGAAGGGGGAGCGGCAACGGCGAGAAAACTGGATGAAGGAGGCCGATTCGATGTAGAAGTTTCGGATATCCACCTGACGAAGAGAAGCCATCAGAGAGCTTTTTCCTGCGCTATGTTTGGAAACAGGGAAATGTCGAATGAGTTATGAGTTGCTGTAAGATGATATATATAGACAGATATATTCGTATATTTTTTGTATTGCTAACGACATTATTTTTGTTTTGAATTTGAATGAGAGCTTGCGCTATTTTTGGAAACAGAGTCCAAATGTCGTCGAATGAGTTCTGAGTGCGATAGGATGGTATATACAGAGATATTCTTATATTTTTTTGTTTCAGAATATATGAAAACGGTAATATTTTATTTTAAATTTGAAAGTGACGTTCCTCCTAGGTGTTCAGTTCCAGGTGAATTCGTCGCAAGGTGCAAGTGGGTGTTCTTTCTGTGTGCAATGGACTTATAATGCCTTAATGATGTAAGAATGGATTTTGAAATCATTGGATTATTCTCATTGAGACACTTATTTTAACTTTGAGCACAAAAAAAAATCAAAGGTTATTTGGTCTCTTAAACAGTTACATGAAAATTTTTATGACATTTTGAAATCCATTTGGGCTTATATTTAGACGGTCTTGGTGTTGTTGGATTCATCTTGTCAAAACATTTTTTTAGCTATAAATTTGCTGAGATTGGAGATAGACTAATCCTACAGTTGAGATTTGTTAATTGCATCAAGATTCATGCGAGATCAAATAAATTTTCTCAAAATTCTTTGAGTTTTTAATTAATTTAAAAATAAAATCAATTTATTTTAATTTAAGCATGATGTGTTAAAAAATAATAAATTAATTTAAAAATCTTATAATATATTTCAAAGGATTCATATTCAACAATCAAATCATCAATTTCTCTTCATTAATATGCTTATGATTAGTTCATCACATATAATATTTTTTAGATCATATGTTAGATAAGGGTTGTGTCTAGGGGTGTCAATTTTGGGTCACGGCTCGAGTTCGGGTTGAACCCGGACTTGACCCGATATTGTTCGGGTCAACTCGAACCCGACCCGTTTTTATAAACGGGTCAGTTTTCCGGATCCGAACCCAACCCGCTTCAGGTTCGGGTCAACCCAACACGACCCAAAATCAGGAGCCAACATGCGCGACAGGCCTGGACGCGGCAGCTATCTAGCTTGGCTAGCCCTCACAGGCTTGAGTCCGGGTTTGAGTCCTCGCCTCCTCGGGACTTACGGTGACGCGGGCGAGTGGGGCAACCGGGCAGGGCTGGGATTTGCCAATGGCAGACGGGTAGTGGCGGGGCAACGGAGGTATTGGCCATGTACGGTCAACAGTGATTGATCAAGAGGATGCTCGGTCAGCGCCTCAGCTGGCAAGCGGCAGGGGTTACGCGACCACGCGGGATTGGCCACGGGCAGCGGTGGTCACCCGGGCAGCTCGGTCAGCAGGTTAATCCGAGTTATTTCCGGGTTTTTGGGTCAACCCGAACCCGACCCGATTTCTAAAACAGGTCGAAAACTCTAACCCTACCCCGACCCAATCAATATTCGGGTCAACCGGAACCCGACCCGATTCGGGTTCGGGTCAACCCGAACCCAAAATTTCCGTGTCGTGTTCGGGTCGGATTTTCGGGTCGTGTCCAATATTGACATCTCTAGTTGTGTCAACCAATTAGTGTTATATTATCCAATAAAAAATTGATTATGGGATGGTGCAATCTATGTCGCATGTTGAAGTACCTATGAGGAACACTATATATAACCTATACAATATCCATATTGAAACATGTAAGGAGGGTTTACATACATTGCACTCAAGCCATTAACATTTATATAGTTAACACATAAACATCACTATTTACATACATAATATTCAAAACATTTAAATGAAATAAAAAATAACACCTCATTACAATCTCTAAACCCTTCTTCATGGCACTGGTTTGATACACACTCCACTTGACATGTCGATGCCCAAGCCTTGGAGCTCATCGCACTTTGCGCCCATGAAAGCCTTAGCCTACAAGCTCCACCTTACTTTGATCAATCGATGCCATCACCTATGAGCTCTCATGCAATTTTTGTTTCTGGACCCGTCGATGCCCTATGGGATCTTCTGATAGTGGTCATTGATGGGTTAGGTAACATTGGTGACAAGTCAAGCAATGTACCAAGCGAGTGTTATATGTGGAATTTGATTGTGTTGATCAATCAGGTTGTTTTGTTGCCTCAAACCTCAAGTTTCTCGTGCTCACTGGGGGGGTGCGAGGGGTTTACCCCCTTTTTGGGTTTGGGTGCAATGTACTCGAGCGCCCAAGCACTATGTACTTGAACTCCCTTACATTGTGTTCCTAAGCGCCCTTGCACTGAACAATAGAAAGTGGAGTGCCACAACGGTCTGAATACGGCGACACAACAGATTAAGACAGAGGTTTGAGCGCTACAACTCCCCAATTAAACTAGTGTCGCAGCGCTGCAATATGGATTGGACGATTAGTTTCTTTCTCATTTTTCTAAAGTGTTGTCTCCCTTCGGGTTATTTACTTGGCTTTCTCTGCTATTTATAAGATGTTAGACATTGAGAACAATGCATGTAAGAAGAGAAGCAAGGAGACATTGAGAGAGAAGAGAGATATGTAATTAATATTTCTTTCAATTTTCATAGTGAATTTCTTGATGTGATGTGGCTCTGTGGGTTTTCCCTATTTTGGGTTTTCCATGTTAAATTTTGGTGTCCTTTATTTTTCTGATTCTTTTACTTTATTTTTTATTTCGTCATTATGGTGTTTACTCCTCATCCCCAACAACGAGATTTGGCAATTGTCTGCCCCACGATTCACTTACTGTGTTAACAAAATGTTAGATGGTTTGAATAGTGAAATTCAAGATTTAAATATATAAATGCTAATATTTTGAGTGTTATGAATGCAAATCCCCCAAATTATAAATAAGCACTCATTTAGTTCATTAAGGAGTATTTTTTCAAGATAGCTCGAATCATTTGAGAAAGTCTACTTGTAAACTCAGCATCAATTGCCATAGCAATCAAATATACATTCAGCGGTAATACCCTCTTCTTAAATCTCATAAAGCATTCCCACCTGCAAACTCTTGCTAGGAGGAATTCTCAAAGTGGCAACATTAGACCTAAAGTTCTTCTGCAAAAACCTGTACAAGTTATTAATTACCCATTTCCTGAAACCCCCATTCTTCTTACTGGCATTCAGAATTATTCTCCCATGCACAAATATCACATCCTTGCATGATGCACAATCCATCATCTCAACCTCCTTACCATTCTCAGCTATCTCCTTGATCACCCCTACAATTGAACTCTCATATTCTTCTCCATCCATTCTATGTTGGTCCATGTAACCATACTGAACCAAGCAACTGTAGACCCCCTCTGGGCCAAGCTTTGCAACAATGAACCTTTCCTCAGGAAGCACAGTTCTTATTGGAAGAGTTCTTACAGTAACAAACACTGTGACCTGGCGGAGTGTGCCTACATGCTTCACATAATGTCGAATAATCGGTGGGATTCCATTCATTAAATCAGTGCAGAAGAAGCAAACTCCCGGGACTCGAGTGCTGGTTTCAACAAGATGATCTAGTTCTTGTTTGCTCATCTTATTTCCATCTTCATATTGACTCTTCTTGCTTCTTCCATATGTCCATGAGAGGGTGATAACCAAGAAAAAGGCTGAGATTGCAAAGGGGACCCAACCTCCATGTGCAAGCTTGTTCAACAATGAGCTCATGTACACACCTTCAATGCTAAGATAAACTGTAAGGAACATCACCACCAAAATTATGTTTGTGTCCCATATTACAAGCATCACCACACACATTAGCACTGTTGTGATGAGCATTACCCATATCACAGCCACACCTACATCATCAAAATCATCATATTATTCTTAAGAAACATCTTATATGTGATGCAAGAGTGCAAAAACAACCTACCAAATGCATTTCCGATCTCCGCACCGCCGTCGAAACCGACTGTGATTAGAATGCACACAAACATTAGAAAGTAGTTCACCTCAGGAGAGTAGACTTGTCCCTCATGCTTGCTTGAGGTATGAATCATAGTCACCCGGGGAAAACAACCGAGAGTAATGGATTGTCTGATTATTGAAAAGCTTGCAGATATGAGGGCTTGGCTTGCAACAACAGCTGCAAGAGTTGAAATGATAAACATAGGCCAAAATATGGGTTCAGGAACAGAGCTATAAAATGCTGTGCTAATTCTATCAGGATTCTTGATGAGGAATGCAGCTTCACCAGAGTATGCAAGGATCAGAGCAGGATACACAACCAATGAGTAAGAAAGCTGAAAGAATAAACTATAATGTTTAGCAACTGTGATGAAAAGATTTAGTTCTTAGAGAAAGAATTGAAGGCTAAAATTTAAGTATTTTATTGCCTGAATTCCTCTCTTGTTGAAGTGACCAAGATCAGCAAACATGGCTTCAGCTCCTGAAAAATTAAGTCTTTGTTATAACTTTTCTGTAGAGATCACCTACGTAGAGATACATGGAAATAAAGGAAAATAAACTAACCTGTGATGCAAAGTGCAATTGCACCTAAGAGCTCCCATCCCTTTCTGTGGTTTCTTTGAAAGAAGTAGAAAATGTAGTGAGGTGACAAAGCTTTTAGGATTGATGGGTAGAATTTGATGATGTTGTAGAGTCCAATAGTGGCAGTGAATGAGAACCAGAGGAGCATAATTGGTGAGAAGGAGAAGCTAACTTTGTTTGTACCAAATCTTTGGAAGAGGAACAATACAACAAGGATTGCTACCGATAGGAAGACAACATGTTCTGCATTGCCAAGAGGCATTTGTTAGTATTTCAGAAAATTTCAGAAGGAAAAAAAAATTATTTTAATGGCTATGAAATGAATGAATTGGAGCATGCCTTGTTTGATCTTCGATGATCTTGATTGAATTCCTTGAACAGCAGAAAGAACTGTAATATGAAAAAAATGTATTACAGTCATGTGGATGAATGATTTTAAATAATAAATTATTAGTTTCAGATGGTAGTCAATTAGGATTATAAGCGAACAAGCACTCTCGATGAACAACTCGATTCTCGTTCGTAAAAGGTTCGCTTATATTTATTCATTAACATAATCAAACAAGCTAAAATATAATTTTAAAACCTACTATATAAATAAGCAAGTTTTGATAACGAGTCTATTTGAGGCGGCTGTAATATTTTGTAAAGTTGATTGTAAAGCTATTATAGAAAAAGTAACTTTTTTGAAAGTTGCTGTAAAAAATAGCTTGATATCATATAAAATTCTTAAAAGCAACAAAAATATATTAGAAGGCAAGAACCTGAGATGGCCGGAGTGAGAGCCCCATCACCAATAACCATACAAGTCCCTAGCAACACAATAAAGGTAATCACAGCCTGGGCTTTCGAGTTCTCCTCTAGGAATTTCTTTGCCTTGGACTGTAACTTGCTTCCTTTACTGTGGTACTTCAAGTTGAAATCTGAACCAAGTCTTGTGCTTGGAATTATCATCTTGCCTTTGAAGTTTACATGTTGGCGAAGCAAGGAGTACAGAGCAAAAGTTCCACCTGAAACAAATAGTAAGGCAAAGTAATAAAAATCTTTAATATGTTATTCTTACATAACAAACAATGTTTTTGAATGCAGGGTATAAATGGACACTCATATTCATTTGGAATAGACTAATCAAGTTAGTTTCATAGCTTGAGAAGTTAGTGGGGCAAAACAAACTTGAAAATCGCCTGAAGGCCTCAAGTCATTTAAGACTGGGTCTCATTAAGGCTTTGTTTGGAACCGTTTTTTTATTGTTTTGTAAAGTTATTTTTAATCCCATCGGTCTTCGCTGGGTTGGTGGGCGAGCATGATTGAGAACCCCCCAACCCATGTTCGAATCCCCTCTCATGCCACGTGACCCCTCAAGTGGGGGAGAAACTAACTGCGAGTCCTCCACCTATGGGGCTGGTTGCTGGTACACTCGTCGAGGGTTTAGTTATGCCGCCAAGTATCTCCTAAAAGGGGTGGCAGCTGGTAGATACCCCGTTCAAAAAAAAAAACATATAAAAAAATGCCTACTAGTTCAAGCTATTCATTAGAAGATCACAAGTACTCATCAAAGTTGACTTAGTTGGTTTTTTTTTAAATTTAATTTTTGTTTTTTTTTTTTTAAGTCTACTTAGTTGGTGTCAAAGTCGACTTAGTTGGCTTTCTAGTCAATAGAAGTCATTAGGTTATCTCAAGAGAAGAGCTCATCAAGAGAACTAGCCTTCAGCAAGATTGCTTTTCGAAAGTTTTCTATCATTTAACAACTCAATCAATCCTAACTTCATCACTAGCCATACTAAGTCACTCTTATTTGCTTCTATCTATATTTTTTCATGTGATCAAAACCTATAATTATGGGGCCAAGAATTGATTGTGGATTTGACATCATTCTATACTTCTAATCAAATCTCTATCAAATATAAGCTTTGTTTGGAATAGCTTTTTTACCGTTTTATAAAATTACTGTAGCGAAAATAATTATTTAAAGCCGTCAAAAGCAACTTTTTAGTACAAATTTTTTTTTTTTAAAACAACAAGAAAATGACAGCAAAATAAAAATTGTAGTTGCAATCTGAAAAGAAAAGCAGTAAGAAAGCTGTTCAACGTGAAGCCTTAGGCTTTGCTTGAGACGGCTTTCTTACTAGCAGCTTTCTAGAATCTGTTCTCTAAACCACCCTTTTTTTTCTCTCTAGCTTTCATGTTCAATATTCTATTTATGCATTAGATCACTGATCAAATGCATCCACTGATTTTCACGTATCTCCAAATATACAGCACAATTAATATATCTAAGCGATATATAAAATTATACAAACATAACTATGATAACTGAACTGAAAAGAGCATACCTTCTCCATGATCATCCGCCTGAAGGACAATGAACACATACTTGATCAATCCCATCATAGTCAAAGTCCAGAAGATCAAGCTCAAGATCCCAAGAATATCCTTCTCTCCGGGCTCTGATAGCCTGATTGAGGAGAAGACATACAGAGGCGAAGTTCCAATGTCTCCATATACAATGCCAAGGGATTGATATCCCAACATCATTGTTTGCCAAACTGTGAAACTCTGCATCATTTAACAGTAAAACTTAATAAATAGCAACAAGTTTGCTCTCTCTCTCTCTCTAAAAATTCATTTATGAGTAAAAATATTGGCCAGTTTTTACAAAGAAAAAATGTAAAAATTATTGTATATTACAAATGACAGGAGTATGTGTACAAAGATTGGTAATTAACATGTTAAAATCATAATTAGGTCCCGTTTGGGATAGCTGTAGCTTTCCGTAAAGATGATTGTAAAGTTGTTGTATGAAAAATAGTTTTTTGAAAGCTGCTGTTAAAAGCAATAGCCAAACAGAACTATGATTGCTGTCAGAAAAAGCAAAGCATAAATAAAACTATCTCTAATAGACTCTAAGGTTTCATTTGAAACGGCTTTCTTACTACTTCTTAAAGGAAGATTTTTAGAAAGCCGTCCCAAATGAAGCCTAAATCTATTTCTTTAAGAAGAAAAAAATCATAATAGAAGAATACCGGCGATTTATTCTGAGGAATCTTGTAATCATCCATGAAGCTAAATGTTCTTTGGGGTGGAATCTTATTAGTCTCCTCAACTTCCTCATGGCTCCCAAAGCCATCTTCTAAAGAGCCCATTGCTCTCCCCTAACTTGAAGCAAGAGGAAGATTAAGGAATGCTGAAATAATTGCAATTAGAAGACTATATAGCTGATCAATCCAGAGGAAAAAAGACAAGAGGTTCTGTTGATTTTTCCAACATTTGTTTATTTATTTTATATATATATATATATATATATATATATTATTCTGTAATATTTTATTACTTTATTAATTATAATTTATGTAAAAATATCATTTTATTTTTTGTTCACATTTATTCTATTTTTTTAATATTAAAAATACATAGAAGCTGGAGAGGTGTGGAGAGGTGGGAATCTAAGCTTTGGAAGTCTGCTAAATGACCATGCACTTCACGGTCGAATTTTTTTATTTTTGTTGTTTTTTTTTTATAGAATATTCAAAGAAATAAGGCTCAAACCTAATAAAATAAATAGAGAATGTTCTTTGAAGCTAAGAATCTTCTTCCATTTTCAAAAAAAAATTTAAGAACTTTTGAGCAAATTAAACAAAAATCCAAACACGTAACACATATGCAAGCTTCAAACACAACTTTTTAGTTGATAGCTTAAGCTCTCGCTTACAGATCAAGATGAGCTGCGTAGAATTTTTCAGCAATCCTAATCACAATTGTCATTATATTTCTTAAATTTATTATTATTATTTTTAAATGAGCATAATATAATCAATAAATTTTATATTATTCTCATCTTAATTAAAATAAATTTAGTAATTTTAAAATTAACCTTAGGGCAACTTTTTTTTTATTATTTTAATAGGTTAGAGGGAATTTGCACGCAAATATTTGAATGGAATTTGGTGAAAGAAAAGAATTGCTTCTTGTCGAGTTAGAAATAATCGTCTTTTGCTCTTTTATTAAATTATTTATTTATTTTTGGGCAGATTGCCTGATAATCTCATCTTACAACATTCAAAGCATATATTTTGATATTTGATAGACACAAAGTAGGTTTATGTCATCTCAAAGATTTTGCTTTATTACTTGCATATTTTGATATTGACAAAATGATCAATCTTAAAGATCATTTGAATATATAGCATATCATTTTCTTTGAATCATTTCTTTATTGGAACTTTAGAAAGTAAATTTTACAAACTTTATTATTGGGAAGTATATTATGCAATGAAACAAATAAGAAATGAAAATAACGAAAATGAACATCGGGATTTAAAGTGGAAAAACTCAAATCTGGGATAAAATCATTCATAAAAATTGAGAGAAATCGTACAAATCTCTCTTCTCATACTATACTCTCTCCTTCATTCTACAGACATAATAGATAATGAGATGCTTTTCAATACACGAAAGGACGCAAGCCTTCAAAGTGAAAGAAGAAAAAAACGAAAGAAAAACTTGTCATCTTGTCTCGTAGTGCCACGACGTTGGGGTTTGGAGGGCTATCACGCTCTGCTCTCTGTCTTCGAGTCAAGATTGTAGGACATTGCATTGTATCTTGCGACGCTGCAGTGTACAAATATACAGTGCTGCCATGTTGTATGGAAAGTCTTTTAGGATTTTTACATACATAACACTTCAAAGTAGTATAAATACATATCCAACACCATAACTTTTATATTTACTAATATACCACCTAAAACTCTTCTTTTCATCTATTATAACATTTATTTATTACCCCGTCAAAAATACCTATCAACCTTGCGTCTTCCCTTCGACCCGCCTTCAGGAAGGATGAGGACAGAACAATAGCCAATGGCCGCCATGCCGATACTCACAAGAGCCAATGACCCGCCTTCCCTTGGCTACGGCCTCTGCTCTCGACGAGCTTCTTCATTCAATGCAAGCTCCACGCCGATACTCACAAAAACGAGTGGAACATGCATTGCCTTGGCTGTATGAACGGCGTTGATCTCTGCTCTCTCTGTCTCTCTTATCACCATGAGCACCACGCCGTCCAAGTCAATTCTCCATTTCCTCCATATTCTCTCACCTGTCTTGCTTTTTTGATGGAATAAAAAGAACAATTTTGGGTATTGTGGCTTTGTTGTACCTTGAATTCCTCTATAAGCTTACCATCAGACAGATTCAGACTATGTAATGTTTAATGAACAAAATACAGAAAATATCTGTTCTGTTTCTTCTTCTATATCCCCTATTTCATTCGTTGCTTTTTTATATTCAATAAGATCATCATACCACGATTAAGATCATCATGCTCAGATTAGAAGATCATGCTAAAAGAAGGCGGTGAAGAGGCATATTCACTGGAGTGAGGGATAAGACAGAGCCATGTCGGCAACCCATGGGGAGAACTGCAGGTATTTACGAAACATTCTCGAGAACTTGGTCAAAGAACGGCGACAGCAGGCCGACAAGGGAAGAGGCAGCAGGCCGATAATTTAGTTGAGCAATTCCGCAAGTTTTTATGGAACACCGATTGTCATCGCCGGCATCGCAGTCGCCATTCTCCAACATCGCCAACGACAAGGGACACAGAGATCTGAAGCAATGGAGTAGGTAGTCGAAGGGAAGACGCGTGATTGATAGAGATTTTTTACGGATGCACTAACGACTAACGGAGTGGTAGAATAGATGAAAAGGAGGATTTTAGGTGTTATATTAGTAAATAGAAAAGTTTATGTGTTGAATATGTATTTATAATAGTTTAGAGTGTTATGCATGTAAAAATTCCAAGTTTTTTTCATCAACTGAATAGTATTTACGTTTAAGATAACAGTACAACATGAACAATGGATACAATTAAATTCCATACAGAACTAACAATTGTTCATTTCAAAAAAATAAGTGCATAGTTATTGATAATTATGTTGTATAAGTTCTCTAGTTAAAATAATAGTTAGAAGATAATTGCATCACATTAGACAATTAATGCAAGCTCATACACACATCACATACACAAGCTTCGAACCCTATGCATTGCATTTCAAAATTTTATATGAAAAATTTGTTTTTGCAACAAGCATAGCTAAATTACTAATTCTTTAGCAACTTCACAACCAATTTTATAAAATATTATAACCGTCACAAAAAAAAACTCTAAAATACACGTAATTTTTTTTTTTTGCTAATATTATTTTAGAAATGGTATATTTTGTTGCAAATAGTTGAGGTTTTTTAGTACTAAAAGATTTTGCTGCTACAGTCTTCATGCCATTTAAAAATTTCCTTACAAAATAATAGCAACACATTTTTACTACATTTATAAACTTCATTACTACAGACTTTAACATTTTTATCAAAATGATAAATATAAATTGATCATTCATTGGTAAAAATCAAGCAGTAACTTTTTTTTTTTTTTGAAATAAAGTCTTCATCTTGTATAGAGATGAAGCTTGGAAATAGGTTAACATACTTATGATATGATAAATAGGTTGGGAAGCTATCGAGGTTTTATTTGGGACAGTTTATTTCTCACTGTTTCTTAAAGTAATTTTTTAGTTCAAAAATTAAAAAATGTGTATTAAAAAGCTGTTTTAAGAAGCATTAAAAAAATCCGCACCAAATGAAGCCTAAATCTAATAAGAAGTGTGGGATCATATATTCACGAGTAACGGGTCAAATTATCTTACAATCATACTAAAAAAGGGTTCCTAAAAAAAGTAAAATTTTAGGATTAACATCACTTGCCCAATAGAAACCCATCATTATTTGATCTAGGGGTTAGCGCTAGGTTCAACAGGGATTAATTCACTGCAGGAAAATCATGTATTGCCAGCGAATTTAAAAAAAATTAAACTAATTTCTGACGAAAAAATTTGCAACAATAAATCGAGCATCAGAAATTTTTTTCGTATTTTTCGTTGAAAAAAAAAACCGTTGAAAAGGAAAAATTTTTCGGCTGAATTTTTGCGGGCGACTGTCCGACGGAAAAAATTCGCTTGAATCTTCTTCCTTCGTTTGTAGGTTATCTCTGATTTAAATTAATAATAAATTATTTTAAAATACATTAAAATTAAATATTAAAGTTAGTAATTAAGTAAAATTTATTATTTTAGTTAATATTTAAAATAAGTTATTAAATCAACAATGAATTAAAATAATATTAAAATAAATTATTAAATTTATAATTAATTAAAATAATCTATAAAATTATGAATATATTATTTTTAAAGAAATTTTAAAATCTGTCGGAAACAAATTCATCGAAAAATCTCTCTGAAAATTAGTCTGAAATATTTCATCGTAATCTATCAAAAATTTGCCATGAAAATATTCCGCCCGCCGAAAAATCCTCCGAAATGAGTGTTTTCTTGTAGTGATGGCGCTTATTAAGGTTAGCTAGTTAGGTCCACTCAGGTTGACAATATTGAGGAGATGAAGCTGGTTGGTTTTAGACATGCTATACTTAAGTAAGGAGACTCAACTTAAGAGCATAAACAAAATATAGTCGAGCTCATACAGAACAAAAAACCCCCTTGGGTTGAGCCACTTTGAAAGAGCAGAGTACGAAGTGAACCAATAAGAGTGCTAAACAACCATACATAGCTGCTTGCATTGCATTTTTGAGGCCACTCATTAAGTTACTTACAGACTTTTACTACACATTGCCAAACACAAACACTTTTTTCAACAGGAATATGTGTACTATTATCCTCTTATATTCTTCCACAACTGTTATAAAAAAAAAAAAACTGAAACAATTTGACATCTTGGTTCTTCAATCATCGATCAAATAACTTGGCTTCCAGCTGCCATCATGAAATCATTTACAAGCTCGCTCTATTGCTTCTGAGGAATATAAAGCTGAAACCTTCATATGTGCTTCTGATCCTTTACAGGGCCTCTCGGGATCTTGTTGAGAACTTTGGAGTCAAATTTTCGGTAGAGTTTCCTTAGGGATCGGCTTCCCTCAGTAACCAAATGATCCACTTCTCCTTCATAGTTTTCATATAGAACCGGTAGTATCTGAATGCAGAGATAACCTACAAACGAAGAAGATGAAGTCTAGATCTTAATAAAATGAAAACATGCTATAAATGTTTCTTTCTTTCAGGAGTAGTGTGGCTTACCAAAATATAATAGATTCAAAGAGCTGCAGCTGCTTCCTAAGATTGATATGATCCAAAGAGAAGCGATTGCCTGAATGAAAGAAAGGAGTATTGCTGAGGATTTTAAGGCGAATTATGTTGGGAAATTTCTACATGTGGGCCAATATATTTTATACATATAAATAAAGAATTATACATTAGACGCTATTTAAAATTTAGCCAATTAAATTTGTGATCTATTTGAGTATTAAATTATTACTTGGCTTATGTGGCATCTCAATTAATTTTGTATGGTATTAATTTGTGTAGAGGCCGGGTATTTATTTTATTTTTATGATGGGCTGAAATAAAATATTTACACTTTAAGTATATAAGGGTTTAAAATTTTGAGTGAAATATATATAAAGATAAAAAATTATTTGCTACATATATTAATACAAAAAAAAAATATGAAATATATATAAATCACTCTGTATTTTATTATTGTGGGATTTATATATATATCCTAAATTCATATGTATTTATATATCTAACATCTAAATTTTAATACGCACTATAAAATAAATTACTGTTCAAATTATATCAAAATATATGCTTAAGAAGATGTATTTTATTTTAAATAAATTAATATTAATGATATTTTTATGTGATTTATATATTAAGGTGCTATGCAAATAAATATATAAATGCATAAGAACATCAGTGATATGTATGTAAATTCCCTAAATCACTTCATAGTTCATTTATTAATTTAATTAATCTTCATTTTAACTGGAAGAAAATAAGCAAGCTGTAAGGAAAGCATTTGAAGAAAATGATCAAGTTTTGGTTTTTATATACCATGAAGAATAGTCTTAGATTCTTTCCCATTGTTACATCTTGTAGTATGGACAAGAAGCTGCTCAGCTTGGCATGCAAAACCTCTGCAAATTCTCTGAAATCATTCTCTGGTAAAATTATTTCTGTCAACTTAGGTGGACTCCTGCACCGTTAGATCAACAATTTATTTTTTTGCTAAGAAGGATATTCAAATTTATTTGGCATTAATAGAGAGAGAGGGCCATACATTTATTAAGAGGTTTGATGGAGAAATATAGAGAAAATAAGGAGGATCTATATATGATATTTATTGATTTAGAAAAAGCATATGATAAAGTTCCAAGAGAAGTGCTATGGAGAGTTCTTGAAAAGAAAGGAGTCAATAATGCTTATATTCAAATCATTAAAGATATGTATGCAGGAGCTATTACTTGTGCTCAAACACAAGGTGGATTGACCAAGTATTTTCCTATTTCGGTTGGGTTACATCAAGGATCAGCCTTAAGCCCATATCTTTTTACTTTAGTCATGGATATTCTCACTAGACATTTGCAAGAGGATGTACCTTGGTGTATGCTTTTTGCTGATGATATTCTTCTTGTTGATAAGACTAGAGAGGGAGTTGAAGGTAAACTTGAATTATGGAGGTCAACCTTAGAGTCTAAAGGTTTTCGCTTGAGTAGATCTAAAACGGAATATATGGAGTGTAATTTTAGTAGTAATAGACCTAGTGAGGGGATTGTGACTTTGGGCGATCAAGTCATTAATAAGAGTACACATTTTAGATATCTTGGATCTATTGTTCAGAGTGATGGTGAAATAGATGGGGATATTATCAGCAGAATTCAAGTTGGATGGTTGAAGTGGAGGAATGCATCGGGCTTGTTATGTGATAGAAATGTACCCCTCAAACTTAAGGGAAAATTCTATAAGATGGTAGTGGGGCCTGCAATGCTTTATGGTGCCGAATGTTGGCCTTTAAAAGAGAAGCATAATACTAAGTTAAGTGTGACAGAGATGAGGATGCTCAGGTGGATGAGTGGCTTTACCCTTAGAGATAGGATACAAAATGAGCATATACGTGAAAAGGTTGGAGTAGCTCCAATAGAAGATAAGATTAGAGAAAGTCGCCTTAGATGGTTTGGTCACATAAAACGACGGCCTTTCGATGACCCGGTTAGGAGAGTAGAGGTATTAGATTTGACTTATGTTAAGAAAGGTAGGGGTAGACCTAAAAAGACTTGGTTAGAAAATATTAGGAATGACCTTTCTTTATTAGATTTAAACGAAAATTTGACTTTTAATAGGACACAATGAAGAAAAAGGATTCATGTAGCCGACCCCACATAGTGGGATAAAGACTTGATGCTGTTGTTGTTGTTGTTGTTGTATGCTTGCTGACTATGTGATATAAAAAACTATAGCAAAAAC